AGGTTTTGTGAGCTGAAGGATGTATCAAGTTATTTGAATCATGTTTTCTGTGCGCCTTATTTTGGGTGATCATTATATGAGTCCTCCCATCCCTGAATTAGATGTGGTGTATTCGGAATTCCGTGGAGCAGAAGTCAAACAAGTCCCCGTTATTCGAGTATTTGGATCAACAGTTACAGGTATAGATGGTCGTTCTGGTGTGGAACAAGTATGAAAGGATGATATGGCTTAGCATTACATTCTGTTTTGAACACTAAAGATTATTTCATGTGAAGTGACATGTTTTTAATGCTTTGCAGTCCAAATTTATCAACTGATACTGCTACTTGTTACAAACCTGTTCTAAATATATATTGCTACAGGTGATAAGCAGGATATATCTTTGAATCAGAACTCTGCTGCATATGGTGTACAGATTTTGTTATTGTACTTTGTGCTTAAATGATAACTCATTAACTCCATGGTCAGAGTCCTTGAGAAGCTAATTGTTGCTTAGCCTAATAAAAGCTTCCCCCCTTTTATAGAACCCAGCGGTTCATTACCGTGTTCAGAAGAGTCAGTAACTGTGCTGTATCTGCGACAGGCAGTCCCAGTCAATTTTATTAATAGTGTGCTTGCTTCTTCTGCAGGAAAGAAAACGTGCTTGCACATCCATGGCGTTTTCCCATACATTTACGTCCCATACGAAGGGTCTGAACCGTGTGACAGGCTCATGTATCAGATAACATCCAGCTTGGATAAGGCCTTAAATATATCACTAGGAAAAGGAAATTCTGCAGCACAACATGTTTATAAAGTGGTTCTTGTATCTGGATTGTAAGTTCTTGTTGTTTTTTTCTTGCTTATAATGAATTTGGTACATAATGTGGGGAATCAGATGTGGCTTCTGGAGCGTTTTAATGACGTTAGCTTCACATGTTGCATCATTTTTGAAAACACTGTATGCGTGAGCCAAGCAAGGTGGCTTAAACAGTAACATTTGTGCTGAATTTTGTTTGGAAGGAGCCTGTTTTAAATCTTCGCTGTCTTGATCAGATGGTTTTTTTTGTAAGGGTGTATATATGGCAAGGTAGATACAGTACAATCCTGGAACGTGACTGACTGACCTGAATTATAAATGTATCCATTTTATGTAGTTTTGAATCTTGGTGTTTCACCTTAGGGGTGGAACATTAACTGGGGATGTTTTAGAACAAATGCCTGTTCATCCTCTCCTGAATATTTATTCACTTGTTAATTGTTGTGTTCTTCGTATGGACCTATTTATTTAAATATTTAAAAATAGCTTGGTCCTAAATGATTTTTAATTTATATCTTTGCAGAAAAATGAGTGATACACATTGATTTTTATTGCAGGCCATTTTATGGTTTTCATACCAAGGAGCATCAATACTTCAAAATCTATTTTTATAACCCACTTATGGTCAAAAAGGCAACAGAATTGTTACAGGTAATTTATTAATCCGATATTTTTTTAACGTTGGGTATGTTTGCAAAGGTTACATTTTGAAAATAAGAGTACTGTAAATTAGAAGGGACAAGAACGGTGGGAAGACAAGAGGAAGGTGGGAAGATGCTGTGAGACGAGATGCTGCCGGTTTGATCCAATGTCATAATTGGAAAATGGCCACAATTAATAGATCTTCATGGAGGCAGAAAATTGAGGAGGCCAAGGCCTGATATGGGCTGTAGAGCCATTGGATGGATGGAGTACTGTAAATTGAAGTGTCTTTTTTCCATTCATGTTGTAATATATCTGTTTCAGAGTGGTGCAATCCTCAATAAGATTTACCAGCCACATGAAGCCCATGTTCCCTATATTCTTCAGTTCATGATAGACTATAATCTGTATGGCATGAACCTTGTTAATCTTGAAAATGTAAAGTTCAGGCGGGACCCAGAAAATCCAGGTAAGAAATATTGAACAAGACATTCTCTAGGGAGAGCTTATGGTGGGAAATTTCTTAAAATACCTAAATCTGTATAAACACACCAATTAGAATTATAAATTGACATGTTTCCTCAAATACGCTCGCACGTTAAAACAAAAAATATGCCGTCATAAATTGGAGTGTGTGGTTTATTTGTGACAAGGTTGGCAACACTGCATATTCCAAGCAGGATTTTAAATTTCAAGTTGCTCGTCGTTTCACTTACCCATGCTACAAGCCACGTACAGCCTCAGTGTGCAGCTGATTGTTAATCTGTGAAAATATTTTAAATGGTAGAATAAATAAAAAATAACGTTGCTGAAGTTCGATGACGTGCACCTTATCATGTTCTGTAGGGAGTTTTGAAAATCTTTCTGAGGAAATTCTGCTACCAGAAAGAGTTACCAGGATGAGTACATGTGAAATTGAAGTGGATGCTGTGGCAGCGGATATTATCAACAAGAGGACAGCTGCAGGTATTCACTACAGTAATTCAAACATAATTTTTAGGTTATCTGTTGTGTTTTTATTTTGTGTAATGTGTGTGCCTTATGGTTTTGTAATTTTATGAGTTGTTTTATTTTGAGTGTGGTGTGTCGTTTTGTTTGTGTCTTATTGTAGCACCAATGCCACTGGGTATAAACCCATTTGCAGTTAATAATAATAATAATAATTTAAAGACTCATCATATGTTCCCCTCCACGGAAATCTTTAGTAAAAGGCGAAAGATTTATGCGTGTTGAAGGGAAACCAGAGTATAATAATAACACTCAGAAAATATTTGCCAACATCCCGGGCGAACACGACATAAGGCAACTGCAGAAGACCGCCATTTTGGGAACTTCATACATCATTCGAAAGACGCTTTCATAAAATAAAATTATATAATACATGTAGCACTTGCTAAAAACAATATGGATCCCGGAAATAGCTGCTGCCCTATGTACCTTAGGGACAAGGTCTGTCTCGGGTACATGGAAGTACACACCCTATAAAGTGGTGAATAGATGGGATGATAATAATAATAATATTGCCGACGACAATGATAATGTATCCCCTGTGCCTTAGCACCACTCCATAAAGGTATAAGTGGAATGAGATGGAGCTCCGTACATTCGATACTTCTGCAATGGATGGAGTTCATTTGTCACTTTTATGCTCTAGTCCCTTTACATCCAGTGCCCTTCAGGTAAGTTGGATTTACCTCAGATTCCAATGCCTCTGCAAAGAATTTAACTCAGGGTATCCTATATTCCTCCCTGCATACCATCATAGTCATCCTACGTCATCTCATTTGATGCTTAGCAGTTGATCTGTCAAAGAATCCAGTAAACGTAGGTAGTTCTGTAAAATTTGCTGGAAATTTTATACATATCCACTATCAAAATTAAAATTAAAATCTGGTGTATCTGTTGCTCTGCTTATATTGCTTTTGTTTTTACTCGTTTTTATTACATCTCCAGGCTTCTTCGATTTTATTTTAGGAGACGCGCCTGGAGATGTAATAAAAACGAGTAAAAACAAAAGCAATATAAGCAGAGCAACAGATACACCAGATTTTAATTTTAATTTTGATAGACCTGACGATGATAAGATTGTATATCGAAACATGTCGTCAATTTTAAAATGTAACAATTTTATGTGAAATTTTATATGATTTTAACAATAAGCTTGTGTAAACGACGGAAAATAAAAGTATTGTATTGAAACACAAGCATGATGCAATTAAGATATAAACATATCCATGAGTCTGGATAATTCATTGACAGCTGTTTCCTCTGAATGATACAATGGCAGGATCCCGAATGGATTTCTCCAGTTGTGAGCAGAAGGTTTGGCTTTGTACGTGAACCATTTGAAAAACTCAGTGGTGTAATATTCCGTGCACTTGTCATTTATTTTGTAGTGTTTGTTTGATGTTGCTAGATGAGCTGGTTGTAAACCCTGGACTGGCGGCAATCTGGGAAGATGAGAAACAACGACGGAGAGAAGAAGGAAGAACGTCACAAATAACTCCCCAGTGTTCTCAAAAGCGTCCATTTGCTGCTTCTACTGACAGTGAACTTTTCTTTAAACAGAAATTACATGACAAGTTACTACTATTAAACTCAGAGGTATATGATATAAACAAAATTAACTGCCTTTATTCTTAAATCGTCAGTGTACTAAAGCCCTTCACTTAGGACTCATGGTGTGACAAGATGCTGTTTGGTGAGGTAGTGATCACGCACCTTGTGGGGCAGTCATTAATGAGTATGAAGTAACATTTGAATGATGGTGGGGGGGCTGATTAACTTGGAGATAAATGTGCTCTGTTGTTACTTCATCCACCAAGAATCTCACTTGCAGTTGCTTAGTATTGAACTTGGGTTCCCCCAGTCGGAAACCTTCATCTAGTCACTTACCCGGTGTCCTACGTGAGCGATTAAATGCGAGCTGTGCGAGTTGCGTGGGTGAAGCGGAAATATCAAACTGGCTGTTTGTGTGGCGCTGTCCTAGGTTCCAGCAAAGTCCGAGATCAAATTTTTGGATATTTTCGCGCAAGTTGCTGCGCTGGCCAGTAAGGCGCATGCACAAGAAAGCTCTGACCATGCAGTACACGGAAGGTGCATGCGCAGGAAGGCCGTGTGCTTCTATTGCGGTCCCTCACGTAGGACACAACAAGCGATTCCCTTATGTCATATGACACCCCATGCTGCTTATGCAGCTTGCTTCTTATCGCTTACGTAGGACATTGCCTTAATGTATGGCATGGCCTATTTTAGAGCCTTGGAAAGATTAGAAAGTCAAATAAGGTTTTAAATTGCTCAGAAAGTACTACTTGCATCACAGAAATTTGAAATACTTCTCTTAAGTAGTGTAAAATTTTACACTAAATTTGTATTTGTAATACATGAAGATCAGGACCAGTCTCGGTACAAAATTGTGAACAGCGGAAATTATGTGTACTCCATGTATACCAGATTCACTCTATTATTTCAGCAAATATTGTCTTATTTTTATTTACTCTTTAATTTTCTGTTATAGCTTTCTGATAATTCTTTGTCACTACC